CATAATCTTAATCTTGTGTTTTATTTCCTCGTAAATACAAGAACAATCCCCACAAAAGCTTTAAAAAAGTTCTGTTGTAGACATGTTCTCACATGAATCATGTCCATGAAGAATCTTAATGACTGAGTGAGCTAACAAATATAACGAGTTTTTGCTTCTTCCCATCCCATCCTTTTTGTCGTTCTTGTTGTTGTTTTTCTTTGCGATAGATTATAAATATTGTTTGCTAATTCTCTCCATTAAAAAAAGGGAAAGCACAATTTCAACAGAAAACCTGAGCACAATGGTTCATAGCCACAGTAATAAAAGCAATGAAGCAATTTGAACAAATTAAGTTATGGACTGCTTCAAAACAAAACGGTGACCACTGCTTTTTAAAATTTATTTTTGCCAAAAAATTAGTCTTAGCTATGCTTAAGTCCATAAAAGACATTTTGGTGCAAGTTTATTTCGCAAATGAGTCCTTGGAACATGATTGTTTCCTCCTAGAGCCACATAGTACCCACCAATTTCATGAGCCACTATTCCCGTGGTCCAGCAACCAGAAGCTAGGTTGATGTTTTGACGCCTGCCAATTCTTCCCACATATGATGAACATCTCAAAACGAATAACAACAGCAGCATTAACAGAAACAAGACTCTCAATCTTATGCAGACCCATAGCAACTTAAAATTTACCACCTGTGCATGTGAATTCTTGCAGCACACTGGCTAGATTTAAGGGTTCCTTTTCCCTGTAGTGTCGAAATCATCACGCTTCCACAACTTTCCAACTTTAAATCAAAGAAGCTATCCACATTCAATGGGAGCAACCTGCACTTAATCATCAACTTTATCATGTTCATTGAAAACCTTTTTTTGTAAATGTATACATTGTTTTGTTACTAGTGTTTGTTTTGTCCAATCAACATTTTACTGCACACTTTAAAGTCAACTTTGTACTTTGCATGAATCATAACTGAAGATGACAGAAGAACTGTCGAAATATGTTTTTAAAAAGTGTCGGTTATTTTCTTAAACTCGAGACATATCTGCTGCTATCCAGACCTAATCACTCAAAAGACCTTGACAATGATCAATTTGTTTTCTTAGAGCAGCAAAGCTCATCCGAAGAATGTATATGTAATAAACACTTCAAAGAGGCCCCCGTTTAGAGCTTCAAGTTCTTAAAAGGTCTGCCCCCATCTACCGGCGCAAAAAGCGTGCTCTAGGGAAGACTTTTCCCATTCTCCGACTTTTCTTCGACCTTTGTAAAGAGCATTTGGACGAGTAAGAGGTGGCAGTAAGGAGGAAACT